GGCGCGATGCCCGGCTCGAGCCCGGAATTCGCGCGCCGCAAGAGGTTCTCGGGTTACAGTTTCAAGTGTCAGACGATCAAACTTCGTTTGCGGTGGCGGTTGCACTTCTCTGCAGCCACACTCAATTGGGTTTCGATTAGATATTGCTCGGGCGACAGAAATTCAATCTGTCTCGCTCGCAAGTGAAATTGAAGATGACTTTCATCTAGTCGAGTTAATTAGTTGTATCTTGCTACTCTTCTTTATTTTTTCGCGTTATATTTACCCACATTTAAATACAGTGAAACCTGTCTTAAACCGCCACTAATAATTTCGAAAAAATTGACTGTTTAGTTTGATGGCCGCTTAATTAAGGTTTTGGGGTTACAGAAAGCGCACATAAGGTCTAAGTATTGAGATAATTGGTATAAAATAAAGTGGTAATTTATCATGCAAATATTGTTAATGATCTTAAACTATAAAATAAAACTTAAACAAAGGATCCAGAGTCGCTTGCCTCATGTGGGCTAACGTCGAACGACCAACATTCTTCACGTCACTCATTCTCTTTCTGCAAAACTCATTTTCCATCCTCTCCGAGACGAACTGACGGCGAAACCAAACTTCCAGCTGCAATAACCACTTTGGAGACACCTCAGGGCAGGGCCGTCTGGCGAAGGAGTTTGCGATTGACATTTAGTGTTTGCGCACGTGGCATGCTCCGGGAGGTTGTGATCAATTCCCACGGAGGTGAAGCATGGAGTAGCAAATTTTACAAGAGCGCTATGGAAATGGCGAAATTACCCATTTTTCATGGAAACATTTTAGTAAATTCATCTGTTAATTGAAAAATATTAATCTTCCCGTAAAATGGGCAAAGAATAATAATGGAAACATCGGTGGAGATCTCTATTAATTCGATATCCTGCAACGGGCTGTTTCCATTATTATTCTTTTATAGTTCAAAATATTTCAAATGAAAGTGAAACTGCGTGTAAGGCATATTATATTATTAAAAACATCGAAAGACAATTATTATATAGAACGAGAAGAAATATGAATAAAAAACATCCCTAGAGATGACCGCTGAATGCAATTAATGTACGTAATATGTCCGGCCGCTGGCCGAGGAGTCTGGTGTCCTCTTGAAAAGCCGGGAATATTTGCAAAACGTTTTGTGAAAATCAATCGGTTCTATGAAAAAGTGGCCGTTAAGATCGATTAATCGAGATAGAATGCTTCACTGTATCTCTCTAAAAAGTATAGCAACAAGTTCGTTTTCTAGTAAAGATGTGTAAAAAAATTAATTTAAAATAGCACTTAACGTTCTTAAATTATAGATAAACATGATAAGCTAAGCACTGTAGGTTGTAGGTACACTATTATTAAAATAAAGTTCCATTCTGTCAAGAATTTCGTAGTTTTTTTTATTGGAAGATTGCTTATCTTCCTGTTCGATGGCAACAAAGCTCTGAAGCTGGTACGCAATTTAGGTCAATGACAGTTTTAATTCGAGAGGTCTTCCGGATTTCGGAATCCTGTTATTATGTAAAAGATTTCACAGCCTACTTTGAAGAGAAAATATAACCAGCACTTCGGGAACATCGCCAAAAGAAATTGCCTTACGATTGCAACAGATTTTGAACTCCCGAATTTATTTTCTTCTTCTCTACAATCGTCTTCCTCTGAACAAGATAGCTTATCCTGTACTACATTACTAGCGGCATGCAGCATAAAAATCTGGTCAAGTATTGAGCGACATTTAAAAAAATATATGTAAAAGAAAATTAGATTAAATTAATCTAATGAAAATAAATATCTTATTTTTTAGACAATGTTACAACATCTAGAGCACGTTTATTATTAATTTAAATAATATTACCACCAAGATTAATAGAATTAAGTGTACGATTTCTCAGATCATATAATCACTTAATAAAATGCTCATTCATTGCCCTTTTTTCACTCGTTTTTATCTAATGAAAAGAAAATTTTAAATCTTTCTATTTTAAAGGAATTTGCGTAAGCAATCCATTGGCCTTAGTAAATTTTGTCTAAAATCTTCCACAAAATTATTATTTTCCCCCCACACGAAGATTACTTTACTCTCAATCTTCAGCATCCACAATAGACACTTTCAATTGACATGTCTTGAATTCAACAAAGTCCTTCAAATTATACGACCAGCTACTGTAATGGGGATTACTGAGTTAGAGAAATAAATAATTTTCTTGCTTACCTAGTTAAAAATATGAAAAATATCACTTGTTAGACAGGGCTGTTCCAATTACTGAATTTCTCTGCATTAGATCACGGATTATTCATATAGTGAATAAAAAACAAAGAAACAGCGTTTTCAAGCTATATTAAAAATAATTACTTACTGGTGGTTGATAATCAGATTACTTGCATGCCACTATAGTTTACTTCAATCATACATACTATTTGCATAAACTACGCCAATTTTTTAAACTGCAGCACCTATAAAAGTAAATGAAAGTTGTTTTCAAGAGTACACTTACCGATAAACATTGCGGTCTATTTTTATCAATTAATTTATGATGTGATTA